TTTACAAAAAGAGAGGCTCTGCTGGACAAGCAACCCCCCTGACCATTAAAAATGGAACAGCATCAAGTAAAGATGTCACCGGGCTTGATATTTACACAGAATATGAATTTGAAGTGTTAGTCTTTACTTCGGTTGGTGATGGACCAAGGAATTCTCCTTTAGTGGTGATGAGAACCACGAGAGACGGTAAGACTTTAAAACGATGTTCAAGTATTTTTTTAAATGGGTCTGCATGGTGTAGCAACAGCGAAAAAAGTTATGAGTTGATCTTTGAATGAGAAAGCATATTATAACAGAACTTTAATGTTTTTTTTTATGATTTGAACTTTTCCAGTTTTATATAAGTACATTTGCAGTAACCAGAGAGGCTCTTTTGTGGTTTGTAATATTCAGTGTGTTGTAGTATAGTTATACGTGTTTGGAAAAGACAAGTGCTAGGGATATCTAGGGGCCACCATTGTGCCTAGGCAGGCCTCAGATAAAATGTGGCCCCCATAGCAGTCAAATCCTTAGTAAACAGCCATGCACCCCCGTTCTAGGCCAGGGTCTTTCTTAGCTCAGCTGACCATAACACTGTGTGTAGGTCACGTGGAGCAATGAATGGCCCTGAACTCTTCATGATACCAAGGCACCCTTGTTTGAAGACAAAAATTTGGTGACTGCTTAATAAACTCTTTCAGACAAGTACATCATTGTACCTGAAAACTTGTTTGAGAACATTCAAAGATAAGTGCTAAACACTACAAATGCATTCATGAATACTAAATTAGGTAGTTCGTAATACCTCAAGACAACCAGCACAAAAGGTCTGAGGAACAAAAGAGGATAAACACAACAAAATTGAATGGTTGAAAACAACTTAATTAGTAAGGCCAAAGGAAACTTAAAACCAAGCATTATAGAGGAACCTAGGACTGCCGACAAATGGGTGCTACTAAACTTATGATGTTCTTTATGAAAGGGAAACTGTTGAATAGACGAGCCAGCCAAATTGTGGCCATTCACCTTTTTTTTAATCATCATTTACCTAAATTGTGAAAGAGTTGCAGAGACAAAATTATTAGATGCACACGTTGAGAGCTCTAACCTTTGTAGTGTTCATTACTGATTATTTTTCCTTGTCATTTGTGATCAAATAGTTTTTCAACTTTTAGGTTGTGTTGAGTTTAGTCTTGGGATGGAAGATGGAAGAATTCTAGAGACTGGAATAAATGCTTCGTCTTCCAGCACACCAGCCACGAATGGTCGACTGAACTACGCATCAGGATCATCGTGGTGTGCAGGAACAAGTGACACTAACCCATACCTACAGATTGATCTACAAACACTTCATATCATCTGTGCTGTGTCTACTCAAGGGAATTCTCAAGCAGATCAGTGGGTGAAGAACTACACTCTACAATTATCCACGGATGGGATAAGTTGGAAGAACTATACGGAATTAGGTGGACAGGTTAAGGTGTAAAATTCATTCTGTATTGAAGCATTGTTTCTGAAATAACTGAGATTTAATATGCATTGACTTTTACATCTGTATCAAATCCCCTTAACTATGTCGGTTAAGACAAAATCATACGTTTCCATAATTGCCATCTGGCATAGGGCAGAATGCTGTGACATTCATTAAATATTCATGATCACCGAAGCGCA